CTGGACTCCTGGGTCCGAGGGAGGAGGGGCTGGGGGCCTGGACTCCTGGGTCCGAGGGAGGAGGGGCTGGGGGCCTGGACTCCTAGTTCCCGGGAGAAGGATCGGGAAGCTTGGGCTCCAAGGAATAGGCTCCAGACACTGAGGTGTCTAAGTAAGAAGTGAGTTGCCCCGGCTTTCTGGCCTCAGGGAGCTGCTGTCCTGGGACAGGGGAAGAGGTTAGGCCTCTGCTGCTGCCTGCAGTGCCTGGCGCTGAAAGGAGGAAGTCACTTCCCTGTGGCTGAGAGAGGCCTCTGGTTTAGTGGTGTGGCGGAGAGATAAGACAGTTTCCAGCCTGAAGAGAGAACTGGGCACCTGGTTTCTGAGAGACCAGCACTGGATTCATGGGGGTCATTGGACAAGGAGGTGAAAGCTGTAGGTTTCCCAGGGACAAAAGAAGGAAGTTGGTTTCTTAGAGTCTGGGGCATCTGGGATGCTTCAGGCTGAGGGCCCAGGGCCAGAGGTCTGAGCCCTTCTAACAGGATGGTGAGGGCCGGGCGTGGTAACTCAGGCCTGTAATCCCAGCACTTTGGGAGGCCAAGGTGGGCGGATCACTTGAGATCAGGAGTTTGAGACCAGCCTGGCCAACATGATAAAACCCCGCCTCTACTAAAAATACAAACATTAGCTCGGCATCGTCGTGGGCACCTGCAATCCCGGCTACTCGGGAGGCCGAGGCAGATCACTTGAATCCAGGAGGCAGAGGTTGCAGTGAGCCGAGATGGCACCATTGCACTCCAGCCTGGGTGGTAGAGCAACTCTGTCTCTAAAATAAAATAAAATAAAAACAGGACCGTGAGGCCTAGAGAGTTCAGGGGAAGGGCCTGGGGTTCCTACTGGACAGTTGGGGATCAGGGAGCTGAGTTTCCCAGAAGCTGTGGGGCCAGCTGGCTGGGTTTTGGGGGAGAAGGTGGAGGTGGATGGACTCTGCCGGACTGGGGAGGGGGAGGCTGAAACGAAGCTTTTTTGGGTTGCAGTACTCCAGACCTAAACCTCAGGCGGGAGTTAGACGGAGAGTGAAGGTTCCTGATCTCTGAGGTGGGGGTGGGGGTGGGACTGCTGAGAGTTTAGGCTCCTTGCCAGAAGGGAGGGATCTCCTGGTTGTCCACAGCTAGGATCTCTCTAAGAAGAGATCTTTTATTGGGAGGTCGGGAGATCTGATTAGATGAGGGTCCCTAAGTGAAGCCTGGGGAGGTTGGGCTGTTTAGAGGGTGGAGCCGTCTAGGTCACTGTTACATGGAAGAAGGAAGTTTGCTCACAGGGTCAGTGTC